CAGGCGGGCTATTAGGCGTGAACTAAAGCGGAGCCTACGTGCTGACAAGGAAGCCTGGTGGACCAGTCGGACTCAAGAAATGGAGGAGGCAGGAGCAGTAGGCAATTACCGGAAGCTCTTCCAGCTAATACGCACCACTGGTCCGAGAAAACCAGGCGTCAGTGAGACAGTCAGGGACAGCGCGGGTGCGCTGATACACAATAAGCAGCGCCGTATGGCTCGTTGGGCTGAGCACTTTGAACATCAGTTCAGCTGGCCCCCTGCTCCCGGACCTCTTCCTACTCAGGTGATGCAGGACGAGCCATGGACGGTTAGTTTAGAGCCTCCGTCGGAGGCCGAAGTCCGTGCCGCTGGCCCGGATTCCCTACCACCTGCACTATTTAAGGATGGTGGTGAGATCCTCTGCAAAACACTGACCTCCCTATTCGAACGTGTTTGGAACGAAGAGAGTGTGCCGGCTAATTGGAGCGAATCGATTATAGTGGCAATATACAAGAAGGGCAGTCGCACAGACTGCGAACCACAGGGGTATTAGCGTAACGCTAGTTGTGACAAAATTACTGGCCTCGATTATCGTTCGTCGCCTCACTGCAGAACGGGAATCTCGGATTAGAGAAGAGCAGGCCGATTTTCGCCCAGGACGTGGCTGTATAGACCATATATTTACTTTGCGGCAGGTGCTAGAGCAGCGCCACGCATATCACAGACCGACAATAGCTGTGTTCCTCGATTTCAAGAGTGCGTTCGATTCAGTCGATCGATCGATTCTGTTCGAAATACTTGCGCGGAAAGGTGTTCCCACGAAATATGTGAACATCCTTCGTGCTCTATACTCGAACACTAGAGGCCGCGTCAGGGTCTATGGTGCCCTATCGGATAGCTTTTCGACTACAAGTGGCGTTCGACAGGGTTGCCCGATTTCCCCATTTTTGTTCAATTTCGTCGTGGATTCTATCATGGAGTGTTCCCTTGCGGAATCTCACGATGTAGGCGTTGAAGTGCTGCCTGGTGAACGGTGAGTTGATCTAGATTATGCGGACGATATCGTCTTGCTTTTCGACAATGTTGAGGCGGCACAATCAACCCTGAATAGCCTGTCTAGAGTGGTCCCATTATTTGGTATGCACTTCGCACCTTCAAAGTGCATAGTGTTGCTGCAGGACCACCAGCCACTCGATGACCCCTTGACACTTGCTAACGAGGAACTCGATGTGGTTGATCAATTCACTTATCTTGGCAGCTGCATCAGCAATGATGGGCGCATAGAAACTGACGTGAGCTCACTCATTGCAAAGGCCAGAGCTGCCTTCTTGAACCTGCGGCATCTTTGGCGACAGAAGGGAGTTTCCCTTCGTCTGAAAGGCCGTGTATACAAGGCCACAGTGAGGGCCGTTCTGCTCTATGGTAGTGAGACTTGGCCCCTTCGGCCTGACGATCTGAAGCGCCTTCAAGTCTTTGATCATCGTTGTTTGCGAAGCATTGCTGGTGTCGGATGGCACCAGCGTGTCCGCAACGATGATGTGCGTAGGCGAGTACTAGGTAGTGCGAATCATGCTAGCTCCCTAGAACAGCAGATAGCACTGAATAAGTTACGTTGGCTCGGGCACGTGCTACGCATGCCTGGTCACCGCTTACCTAGGAGGGCCTTGTTCAGTCTACCAGGTGTCGGATGGCGCAAGGCTCGAGGTGGACAGAAGTTGACTTGGCAGCGGGAAATGAAGTCACTGACGACCAAACTGGGTGCCGTTGGTCCGTCTTGCCTTCCGGGTTGGAGTCCACATGACTCACCTTGTGCTTGGCTCGAGACTTTACAGGACATGGCTCGCAACCGACACCAGTGGCGCGTCTGCTGCCGTCTCCTAATCGGATTGTCTGTTTAAAGTGTGTTTGGTGCTGAGTTATCTGCGGGGTAATGGCTGATTATGACGCGTGGCAGTGAAAGCCGCACGGAAGCTGTCTCGCCGATGCCGCCTTATGTTTGCACGATATCCAGCTGTTTGTGACGGTATGTTGTTAACACAAGGTGTAGGCGCCTTGACCCTGAATGTTTGCTTAGGGCATTAAGGTTTTCAGGTAAGTCCCCCTTCTCTCCCTCTTATTCTTTATTTCATAGGTCCTCATGGTTGTATGGCAGCGAAGCATCAGTTCAAATGGCTGATGTACTGCTGTTGATGATGATGATGATTCGATTTCAACCACTCTGTGGGAAGAAGGCACAAGCTATAAACCGGAACGCCATGCCGACACCTCACTGCCAAGCAACCACCGCCGGTGTACCGCGAGATCGTCCGCACCTACGCGGATCCGAAGTGGTGACCTTTGGGTTAAAAGGCAAGTGCGTAGTGCTTTCGGTCGCTGACCGGGTGCGGGAGGCAGTATTAGAAATGAAACAGTGAAGCCTGAGATGCGAACCGATCTATACCAAGGTCAGGAAAATCAAAGGGAAATTCAAATGAGGCAGCAAAGCGAAGAGCAGACAAGCTATTGTAAAGTTGCCGCTACCTGATTCGTTTCGATTCACTCTGTCAGCCGGAGATATCACTTGTTTCAGATCCATAGAGAGATCAACATACCGGCGCGTTTAAATCGCTGCAAACTGAAATGCACCTTAACCGATAACCTGGAACCAAGATGAGCAACGTGAGATGGTGTGCTACTGAGCGCACGAAAGTAAACGTAATATGAGTGAGATTTCAAGTCTCGAAAAGTCGGTTTTCGTTGTGTGAACCGAATGCTCGTGTCGTTGCTTCCGAAGACGGTCCCGAAAACGTAGCGGTCGATTAAAAGTCCTCCAGGCGAGTTTAATCTGATGGTACACAACTACAAGGTCGATATGTAACTTACTAGACGGTGGTGCATAAAGCAAACTAACATGAGCCACAAACACATGAGACGATGTGAAACAGTGAACAGATTGATGGAATAAGCATATAAACCGAACGGATCCAGGACCGATCGGATTCATAATAACGACACAGATTACTGGTGCTTATTGTGCGTAGTGTAATTTTAGTAGAAAGTAGAATCCACGATTAACTTTAGTACAATAATCTGCCTCGACGGGGAATCGAACGCCGGACACACGGATTACCAGTCTGCTGCTCTACCACTGAGCTACCGAGGGCTGACGATCACGTGCGCAATTTAATACATGACTTCTGCTTGGTTCGCGACGTATTGCCAATAAGTTCGCAGTTTCTGTCCTGGTGTTGCAAATTCGCTCACTCACTCGTCACTTTCCAATGAACCAAGTATCTGTCTTCCTGATATTCAAAGGGCGATGGTAGATTACTGGTGGTTATTGTGAGCAGTGTAATTTTCGTAGAAAGTAGAAACTACGATTAAACTTAGGAGAATAGTCTGTCTCGACGGGGAATCGAACCCCGGACACACGGATTACCGGTCCGCTGGTCTACCACTGAGCTAACGAGGGCTGACGATCACGTGCGCAATTTAATACATGACTTCTGCTTCTACTTTCTGCGAAAATTACACTACTCACAGTAACCACCAGTAATCTACCATCGCCCTTTGAACATCAGGTGGATAGATACTTCGGTTCATTGGGAAGTGACGAGTGAGTGAGCCAATCTGCAACACCAGGACAGAAACTGTGAGCTTATTGGCAATACGTCGCGAACCAAGCAGAAGTCATGTAATAAGTTGCACACGTTGTCGTCAGCCCTCGGTAGCTCAGTGGTAGAGCAGCGGACCGGTAATCCGTGTGTCTGGAGTTCGATTCCCCGTCGAGGCTGATATTGTGCTAGGTTGATCATGGCTTCTACTTTCTAAGTAAAAAAACGACACAAATATTAAAAGTAGTGCGGAGCCTGTGCAGAAATCACTGTTACTTTCAGCTGTTCACTATCACTTGTTCATCATAAAGACAACGATGGTAGGAATAGATTTCTTTGTTTCAAAACTCTCCGAAGTTGGTAACAGCTTACCCTTTTGCGCGCTTCAGCATTGAATTGTTACCTAACTTTTGACAGATGCCATAAATGACGGAGAAAATGTGTAACGTCTGGTGATTGATCCTCGGCATACGCAGCCTGTTTGTGCGCACGATACAGACGTGTGCTCATTTTTTGCATTCCCAGCCCGTACAGTTGTGTGGTGAATCTGTAACGAGGGATAAAGTGCAAACAACGCATGGCACACGTGTACAATAGCATACTTGCACGGTGCACACTACGCTTTTCACCAATCATTTTGTACGTTGTTTCTATCCTTTGTCTTAAGTCCCTCTGCCATCATACTCACACTTCCTTTTGGGCTTCTGACTGACCAGCTACCTCCTAGCGTACTCGATTTCAGTTTCCTTTTGTCGGCATTTGATCCAGTCATACTATCGAGTTCGTGCCTGAACGATAAGGTCTTGCGCTTTGACATATATTGTACTATTCCATTTTACGTCTTTACTTCATATTTTGCTCATCTAATTCTGATGTTTTTCCTGATATGCGTGACGTCTACCCAATGGCTATTTGGAACCAAAGTATCCAATCTTCAGGGGGCATTCTCTCCAAAACACCCCTCGGAAAGACCGTGGCAACTATTTATCAGATGTCGCTTTTTCTTAGGCATACTAATATACCTGGCCCAATGTTCAGGTAGGTAACACTGTAACACGCATGGCCTCACAGTAATAGGCGATTGGATGCTTGTCAATAATCTAACGTATTTTTGTGATGCACCGTTCCTAAATTTGTTGTCCATTTCCTTACACTTTTCGGCGTATTCTATTTTTGTAAATTTTTCTAGGCATCCTTTTCAGAACGCATTTCCATCCATTTGGACATTTGTTGTCTACTCTGCTTACTGACTTATATTCGATACTAAAATCAGCAGAAGTGCGCTGACCATTTCTTTCCGTGATGATTTCTCATCTCTAGCCGACATTATCGGACCCAACCGTTTCACTACGTATCAACCAGGTCACATCCTTCATCTAGTATGATGCATTCTGATTTTCTTACTGTTGCTTCCTCCAAAATCAGACAAAACCGGAGCCGATTGATCCACTACCTCCCTCAAGCGTACTCGCTTCGTGCGAGCCTGGATCCGGCTTCCATTCTCCGGGCTTGCGAGGATCTTCACAACCGCCGGTAACGACACCTTGTTCTTTCTCTACTCCTGATCCGGGGAATCGACAGTTGTCCGATTCGGACCATTACCATCCGGAAGTATCTGTTGCCGCTTCAGACAGAGAAGAAGGTGAATTGTCATCTGGCGATGATGATGAAGCCTCTGCTTGGTCTCAGTCCATATCTAAGCGCACCTCAGAATTGGACACGCCATCGAAGAAAATTCGTTTGGAGCCCCCCCACGAGATATCGAATAAATCTGGGGGTGTTATTAGGTGTACTTCTGAAGACAAATCAGGTAGTCCTTTGTTCTCTTTCCTGCACGATGTTCACGTTCACTAATTAACTATATGCTCTGATGTCCTTTCTTTTTATACAAGCCTCCATTGGAATTAGCGTTATCACCGTGAAACCCCATGCGATATCCGGTAAACGCAGAAGACGTAGACGTTTCCCTCTTGGCGGAACGCGAGGCAGCGCTGGCCAGCATTCTTCCGAGGCCGCATCTGAAGAAAATCCTTCTAAACAGACAGTGCCAGCAGCGCTCCCTCAGACAGACAATGGAGTCAAAGAGATGAGCGCCGTCAAAACACAAGTTAGCTTCCAATTAGCAGCTATCACTTTTTTGTTTACGCATCGCCGTATGTGTTGTTTACATCACATTATCATCCTACTGACCTATCTAGTAACTCGGGTTCCCTATCACAATTCCAATCGGGCTATATTATTATGTCTGTGTGCCTTATCGATTGGCGGTCGCCGGATGACTGGTGTTTTTCGGTTGGCTCGTTTGAGTCCCTTTTACTTTTACGCGTTTTTATAATACAGTCTTCTAATTCAGCGTATTTCTCCCAGATAAATAAATAAATAACTCATATCTTCCTTGATAATGCGAGAAACTGTTTCTTAGAAGCAAGATATCATTTCCTGCTATCACGAGATGTATGTGTGAGTGACACCATGTAATTATAATTCTACGCTAGTTTTTTAATCTGTCTATAAGCCGGTGCTTTTCACAAACACGTGACAAATGTTGTGTCCTTGACGAAATTAAACGATAGGAGTTGTGGGGTACACAGTGATATACAGGTATTCATTTATCCTGGATAAATGTAGGTGTATGTAATTTCGTCTGGCGCCATCAACACCGTTTTCGAAAGCGCTACCCAGGGGTTGTGATGCCCGGAACAAATCCAATGGTTTTTGGGCGGTCAACTCACCATATTCTGATACCTTTTTGAAATTTCTTCCACATTCTAGATTAGTGGAGTAGACACGTTCTCTGAATTTTGTGGTGAACTTCCTAGTCGTGAACTTTGATTCCTTCTGGCGTATCAGGGATTTAGTGTTCCAAGATGTGTGAACACTGTTTTTAGCAATGAGCGCATGATGGTTTATGGTCATGTAAGGAAAACACTGGTTCACTTTCATTCTCCGAATCTCGACTGGATTAAGTCTAACTATCGCAACGTTCATGTATGTTATATTTGAAGAATAACCGCTTAACTTTTTGGTGTGACTTCACTGGATCGTCTCAAGAGCACGCAAACTAAATTGGACCAGTTTCGGGGCCATGGAAATACAGCTAACGCACAATGATTTTCGCACAAAGTACGCTCACCCTTCTTGAAGATGAGCACGACAGTTGATAGTCGCCAATCTGAAGGCACTTCTTCATTGTCCCAAATCGTGTTAAAAAGAGAAGCAAGTCCAGTCAACAAAGAGTCACCACCATCTTCCACACCTCAAAACTTCTCACTGGTATCATTCTTCGGCGACTTACTGGTTTCCATGAGAATCGAATCACTGAAAGCCCGACTGCGTTCCTCCTTGTTCTTGGTTGTATTGACCATATATTTACTCTTCGCCAAGTGTTAGAGCGGACACACACATACAGCCGACCGACTCTGGTGATTCTCCTTGGTTTGATTACCGTCTTTAACTCTTGACCCCACCAGCTTGTGGCACTGCCTATCTATCCTTTCAATTCTGAACTCCCTCCACCGTGATTCCCGAGGCCGTGTAAAGGTCTACAGAAAGCTCTCTCCTGAGTTCCTTACTACAAGTGGGGTTCGCCGGGGTTGTCCTACATCTCCTTTCCTCTTCAACTTTGTGATCCAAATGATCATGAATATCTCTGTTCTTTCAGACTATCCTGGAGTGGAAGTGCTGCCAGGTGACCGACTGACGAACCTGGAGTATGCGGATGACATAGTTATCCTAGGGTCATCATCATCATCACTATGCACGCCAGCTAGAGTTGGGAAACACCTCAGCTACTGTGTCGCAATACATAAAGGAAAAGGAAAATAAATACAAGAGTTACATGCCAGCTGAGCTACCAGCAACGGAGAGGCATCGTTCCGGTAAGCTACCAGCCGGCTACTAGGCAAAAAGAAAAATTATTATGTTTTACGCTACGAAATGAGATCGTAGATGGAGGGGGAGGTTAAAAGGGATGGGGAGGGACAAAGAAACTCACAGCAGGAACGCCACTGAGGTCGGCTCCTTGCCATGTCAGCAAGTTTATCCAGCCAAACGTGTTCATCGTCTTTTGAATCCCAACCAGGGAGCCGTGACGCTCCAACCGAGGCCAGCTCCAAAGTGAGGGCCTTCATTCCTCTGAACCAGGTCATCGCTTGGCCACCCCTCCTCTTCTTTCATCCACCTCCCCGGTGAGCGAACAACGCACGTCGTGGAAGTCGATGGGCTGGCATGCGCAACACGTGGCCCAGCCATCGGAGCCTGGTGCGTGAATGACGGTGCTGAGCGGTTCAGTTCCTCTTTCTGTGCCGTAAACAAGGCGTCGAACACGCTCGTTACTCAGGCGGTGTTCCCACCAGATGTGAGCCAAACTGCGAAGACACCGATGGTCGAACGTAACTAGCCTCTTTATGTCCGCCGATCTTAGGGGCTAGGTTTCGCAACCGTACAGTAAGATCGAACGCACCGTTGCATTGTACACTCTACACTTAAGGGCTTGAGTGATGTCGCGCCGGCGCCATAAGTGGCGAAGGTTAGCAAAAGCACTTCGAGCTTTTGCTATACGGTCCGTGATCTCATCTTCGATCCCAAGGGCGTTGATACAACTTCCCAGGTAGTTAAATTTTTGAACGACTTCTATCTGGTCCCCACCAAGGGTCAGCGCAGGAGGTGACCCCTGCCAATCTTGGAGGAACTCTTTGCATTTCGATAGTGGAAAGCAAAGCTCGAAGCGGCTGACAATCAGTGCTAATCTGTCCAGCGCGCCTTGGCACGTCTGGGAGCTGTCAGAGATGAGGACAATGTCGTCTGCATACTCTAAGTCAAGAAGTCGTTCTCCTGGGCGTAGCTGCACACCTCCCAAGTCACGTCCTATAAATGCAATCTCCATGACTTCGTCAATAGTGAAGTTACAGAGGAAAGGTGACAGCGGGCATCCTTATCTCACGCCGCTGGAGATATTGAAGGGTGGCGACAGCTTGCCGTAAGCCTTCACTTTGTCCGTGCTACGCGTGTATAATGCTTGGATAATATTTACATATTTCTCGGGCACACCTTTCCTGAGTAGACAATTCCAAAGGACACATCGATCAACCGAATCGAATGCACCTTTGATGTCGAGGAACACGACAACGGTGGGCCGCCAATATGTGTGACGGTGCACCAACAACTGACGCAATGTGAAGATGTGGTCGATGCAGTCACGACGCCGACGAGACCCGGCTTGCTCTTCACGAGTCTGGCTTTCACGAGTGCCAATCAGTCTGTGAAGGATAATGGAAGCGAGTAATTTGGAGGCGATGGAGATCAGACTGATTCCTCTATGGTTGCCGCATTTCGAACGCGAGCCTCCTTTGAAGATGGGAACAATAACGGAGCGGCTCCAGTCGGTTGGGAGAGTTTCCTGCTCCCACAGTTTCACTAGTAATTCTTGTAAAGCATCAACAAGAGTAGAGAAGAGGGCTGGAGGAAGATCATCTGGTCCTGCGACTTTGTTCAACTTCAACAGTCCGATATCACGTTCGACTTCTGGGCGAGAGGGTGGATCCAAAGGGACAGCCCACCGAGCAGGGCGATCGCTGGCCGACGAAAAATCGAACAATTCTAGCCGATTAAATTGCTTTACAAAATGCTCAGCCCAATGCTCCAAACGTTTTGCCAAATTGTGGATAGACTGTCCACTCTCGGCATGTATAGTTTCACTAACACCTGGTCTCCTGCTGCCCGTTTCCCGTATCAGCCGGAATAACTTACAATGGTTACCAAGGACATCGGCCATTTCCATCTCTGATGCACGATGAGACCACCAGGATTCGCGGTCTCTCTTCAGGCTAGCACGGAGTCTTGCCCGGAGCTCTTTGCGATTTTCATTGTGTTCGCTTCCAGCCAGGATATGCCGGTGAGCATCGATAAGTTCCAGAGACCGCGAAGGGACCCAATGTCCATGTTGGCTATTGGACATACCACATGAGGATTTGCCTGCTGCTAGTAAGGTCTGCTGAACATGTGACCAGTGACCATCAATTGTCTCCGCTGAGCACTTACTCAGCTGGCATATCAGCGTACTTCGATACGCATTCAGAACAGCTGGCTTTGTCAATGCGCCCACAGCGTCGTCGTGGGCGTCCGCCAAAACGTATCGGCGTGTCAGCACATGCATGTGCATGATCGGTGTTCAGACATGTGCTCGAAATCCAGCGACAGTTCTGGATGCAGCCTCTCCATCGGTAACTTATCGCAATGTGATCGATTTACTTCCATTGCTGATTCGAGGATGGTGGGCACCAAGTCACCCTCCAGCGGGTGCTATGTCGGAAATTAGTGCTCGAAAGAAATAAGCGGGAATCTTCACACAAATGAAGTAACCACTCTCCGTTATCATTACCGGAGCCTACACTGTGCTGACCGCCCAGATGCATTTCATCAGTGGATAATTTTCCAACTTGTGCGTTCAGATCCCCCGCCAGCACAACAGTGTCCGTGCTTCTTCTATGGCGAAGGAGCTCGTTCAGTTGACGATAGATGTCATCTTTTACCGAGTCATCGCTACAGTTTGTCGGTGCATAGGCAGTGATAACGGATAGACGCCTGTTGGTCCCACGCGACTTCGAAGCTTTGGACGAGCGAGCCAATCGGACCGCACACATCCGGCTACTGATTGGAATCCAATCAACCAGAGTAGTTTCAGTCCGGGGACTCTGGGCAATGCCAACACCAGTTTGGTCGGTGCTCGAAGCTGCATCGTCACCGGATAGGCGCAATGAGAAACTACTGCTTGCGTCACCTGAAAGGGATGGCAGAGTGAGCACAGAGCTCGAGTCTTGCAGGCGAGTCTCCGATAAGCAGCAGATATTGATCGAGAGGGTCTGTAATGTTCGGGCAAGTGCTGCCTGTTTACTGATCTGTAGCAATGTGCGTACATTGCGTCATGCCAATCTAAAGGAGGATCGAGGGTTCCAAATGGAAGCCGGTGAACTGGAATGGATCGCTTGGTTAGACATGGGCTTGTCGACAGGAGAGGAGTGACGTTCCGCGTTAGCATGTGAGTTGAAATTAGAAGAAAAACGGCTATCAAAGCATTTTGTGGGAGGGCCAAGAATTGGAGGTTGAAAACTGGGGGATAAAGGTGAAGTTGGAACGGGACGATAAGAATGTAAAAGCGTAAGAGGGGTAATAAGAAGACGGGAAGGCTTGAGCAGTAACAACCAAACCCCTATCCACCCTGCTCGATGCAGCAGATAGGGGATCGTTGATTATCCTCTGCGGTGGCCAGAGCATTAGAAATTTGTTTGAAGAGTGATTCATTGTATTGCGTGGGCAGGATACTGTCAGGTTGCCCAGGCCTAGACAGGAGATCGATTCGGGTTCTCAAGCAAAGCCTTTGTTTAAAAACCTGGCCGCAAGGCAGCGGGTTTAGCGTTGGACTTCAAAGAGTCCGTTTTAAAGAATAAGGTGCCACCCTAATTCCAACTCCCAAATTGGAGGACCAGGAGGCTGAGTTTGTCTGGCCTCTAACCATTGACCCATCTGGTATGAGTGACTCTGAAGGTGCAAAATAGCACCACCCAGCATAGCTCAATGGATCGCTGAGGCACACAACCCATCGCACCACGGTAAGGTCCAGCCTCATTGCGATGGGTCTGATATGTTGATTATGCAAACACTACTGCACAGACTTGTGCGAAGTGCTGCACGCTTCGGCGTGTACTTTGTATCTTCAAAGTGCGAAGTGCTGTTGTAGGACTGGGCCGACGCGCCTGTTTTAGCTATTCTCGAACAGCCACTGGAGGCGGTGGATCGGTTCACTTACCTTGGTAGCTGTGTCACCTTTGGTACTCGCGTCACTGAAGAGGTTATTTCGCGTATCAGCAAGGCCTGTGTGGCTTTCCAGAGACTCAACCATCTATGAAGACGACGGGATATCAGCATGTCAGTGAAAGATAAGGTGTATAACCCTGCGATAAGATCAGTATTACTGTATGGATCGGACATGACTAGTTCGCAATGAATACATTTTACACTTGGCCATATTTGAGCACCGGTGCTTGCGGAGTATTGCTCATTTTTAGTAAGAATACCGGGTGTATACTACTTAAGCCGACCAGTTGATTTATGGCAAAAATCCACCTGGTGCCTCACTCGAGTGTTTTCTAAGTCTTAGTCGCTTGCGTTGGCTAGACCATGTCCACCGTATGCCCGTTGATCGGCTTCCTCGGCGTGCATTATGCGCCGTGGCTGCACCAAGTTGGCTGAAATCTCGAGGTGATCAATCCGTAACGTGGCATCGAGGCATGAAGAAATTGACTGAGTGACTTGGTCAGGCTGGTGCGTGCTCTCTTCGTGGATGGGGGCCTCGGGACGGTCTACACCAATGGTTGGAGACTATGTCAGACATGACTCAGTCACGGTCCGTGGCGTTCCTGCGTACAGTTTTTTTCATCCGCTTGTTAATTTGCGCTCCATTCTGATTAATTTAACGTATTTCCCTCTCGCTCCTATTTTCTCTACATTATATTCACACCTTTACCGTTGTTATTCGTTGTCATTCTTACGGTGTCAGTCGCAGCAACTGGATCCACTGCACTTGGGTGCTCGGATCATAGTTGATCAACTGAACTGAACTGTTTGAACCAGGGAACAGTATTCTATATTCAGTAATACACATGCTTTGTAGAGCCAGATGCGCGATTTGGTGAGATAAGACTGACGACATCTATCCGACGGTCTGCATGGTCCTTGGAACTTTAAGTCACGGTGTTAAGGTATGGTTGTCACGAAATACCTCAACTAAATGCAAAAATGTCAACCACACAACAGAGCCATTTTTACAGCTCTTTCGAAGCAGATAAGTCTCTCATAGTGTCATGGAATGCTTGCCGTGTTTCATCCCCATTTGTCTCCTGTTTTCCACTCTTTTCCGTCGACTTCACCCACGTTTTGACCAAGTCGTTACACTTTTTGTTAGATTTTATTTACTAACTCAACTCGTTCTTGTCTGAAATTCCGATCTCATACTTTAACATTCTCCAACCCGACTGACTGTAGAACCACTCTGAACTCAATCTCCAGCTGTTCAGACTTTTTCGATTTTCCAGCACGGTAACTTGAAGCAAGGTGATAGTATTAATTAGGATAGTTTTAGAAGTTCGTTGATGTTTCATCTTGACGAGTACTTATCCTTTCCAATCCAGCGATCATAGACCTCGCTCACTGCAACTCATCCTGAGCTCGCCTCGAGCTTAGGCGGTACGCCGTCTTCAATACTGCAGCCAAAAAGACCGGAGCTAAGTATAAGTGTTTATCTGAACGTCTTGCCTTGCAACAGATTTAACTTCCTCTGATCACTGAACTTTCGAATACCACACTAATAGTTGCCGTTCATCCTGTAAACTTCCTCAGCAGTGGCAGTGTAGGTGCGGATCAATTATCTAACCCAAGACCTTTTCTGGTCTATTCGCGATTGACCTTCGTGATCTTTACTGTCATCGCTCTGTAATGTACTTTACTTAGCCCTTAATGTTCTCTTGTGAATCAATGACTTGGCCCGTAGCCTAAAGGTAACGAGCTTGTCTTGTAATCTCACGGCGCGGGTTCGAGCCTGTGTAGGGGCAGGGCGACCATCGCAGTATCCTTAGCCCACGTGCGACCGGTGGTGGTTACGCGGCAGGGAAGCATCGGTACTGCGTACAGTTTGTAAACGCCGTACTTATCCGTCACCTTCTCTCGAATTTTTGTTTTCAATATCTCGCTATTTTAGACTATACCACGTTTCCGACATCAGATCGCTATGCTTCTGTTGGAATTAACTGTTCTACTTCTAAATTTACCACTTTATTCACCGTACATTTAGCGCATTGCTTTTTCACCCTAATCTCATTTTATGCTCCCAGGTCTTTGCCGTCAAAGATAAGGAGATGGAGTGTTTATTGACTGCGGAAGAGATACGGTCCTATTGCTCTCTTCTATTTGAGATCAAAGTTGGGGACGTTGACGGTCGCAGGTGATTTTACAATGTTACACTTTCAGTTGTTCCAATTCATTTTGAACCTTAGCTATGTCGGTGAGGTCAGTACAAGCGCTTCGCGGGTCAAACCCTTATTAGGAATAATAATTTCTCTTCAGAACCGGGTTACTCGTCGCCACCATCTACTGATGGGCTGTGACCTGGTTATTCTGCTCTGTATACCTGTTTTCTAAATACAAACATATGCTACATATACGCAAACTTTAACTACGCGGCCTTTATCTAACATGGTACGATCTTTTATCACCCACAATTTAAGAGTTCCATCGAAATCGAACCTTAGTTTCTGGCACACTCTGGCCGAATCCGTCACATTTGGGTGACGCCATTTAAATAAATAAATAGTTTATTCTCGATAACATCGAAGCACACCTTATCAGGCATGATCAAAGTTTTACAATGTTTCGCAATAGGCACATTGTGTTGCATGCATACATGGAGAAAGTACATGTGAGGAAAACATCAAAGGTGAAGTGGCAATTGTTTGCCTCCATGTGCATGTAGCGTAGTGTGGAAATTTGTAGACTGTGACTTTATTCTGGCCGGTAATTGTATAAAATACGGCACGTTAACCAGTGACATATTAGATTTGTGTGTCGGTATATATGTACGTGTATGTGTCAGTGGACAGTGTGAGTGAACTTGTGAAGTGTGACTGAATTGGTGAATTTGTTTGCTATGTTCACCCTCGTATGAAGGGATCAAGGGAACTCTTCGAATTGGATGATGTTTGTGAACTGGGGATCCTTCGGAAGGGGAAGAGGCAGTGGCTTTATTTAGCGGCAAGTCACATCCGCCACGTCACAGTGTTGTTAAACGGACACATGGCTTTTTCTAGGGAGGCAGCTTCTTCTTCTATCATAGCCTTTCTATTGCATGCTGTTTCCTTTATCTATCATTGTATTATGAACACAACCATCGCCAATTAGTCGCTTTTCACTCAACTTAACGCGTGGTTTGTCGACACCAACGTTACCGGAATTTCGGCCTGCATTCGTGCATTCCTGAGAATTCCGTGTAGCACAAGTCCACTTTACCTAGTGGGATCTCCTTTGCTTTTGCGAGTCAACCTGCTGTCCGTATACTGCTGATCAATTGTGGCTAACGTCCGCTTCTTCCGTCACTTGATAGCACCATAATCTGTCACTCGATATCTCGGTAACTGTAACACTACGCTTTTGATAGCCAGATGTCGCCCCTCGGAAACGGATTCATAAGTACCAGCTTCAACTTGGTTAGCGGTCCGTCAAGACTGTAAGCTCCTAACTTTCGGCAACGAGTTTAGCTTATGCTGGGACCGTGAGTGGTGATCACCACAATTTACTTTTGGCAACTATTTTTCGATAGCCAAACTATCTCGGTTGGTTCTCCTCGACAGGTCTTCAGGCCCAATGCATGACTTTTTCTTCAAACATAAACTTCATCCTGCATCGACCGTCGCGCAGATTATCAAGGGTCGCCTTATCTGCTGCATACAGCAGGGCGGATAAGCGAAAACATGCATATGTTTCTCTTACTCCTACGCCGACCCCCATTACTAACCTTCCTTCTACAATTCCCAGTTTTATTGAGAGCAGCCGAAGTGCCATTGGAGTAGAACCATCTTCAGCCACCATCCCATAGCACATATCGGACGCCTATCGGCAAAAGTCCCTTATAAGGCCATGCTATCCCGTTTCCATGGCGACATTCAACGTTCTCACTCTAAGACAAATAGATCACAAGACTGCACTCGCACGCACCTTGGAACCACTGGGTATTGATGTGTGTTGTGCGTCCGAAACTAGGCTCAATGAGCCTAACGGGATTATTGAATTAACTGCACCCGGCTTATCCTCTCGTTATTGGTTGCAGGCATTCTGAGACCCCGATGCAGCACTCGCGGGTCAAGCTGGTGTAGGTATCATTCTAAGCTCCAAGGGTGGGCCATCGTTGGTTGGTTGGATTCCGATGAATAGCCGTTTATGTGCAGCCCGTTTGACATCAGCTAAGCTTGATTCACGAAGTAGTAGAAAACGCTGTTTGTTTGTGATTTCCGCTTATGCTCCCACCGACTGTAGTTCTAATATTGTCAAGGACACATTCTATCACGAACTGAACGCCCTACTACGCAGCGCTACTAGTTCGGATATTATAGTATTTGCAGGGGATATGAACGCACAAGTAGGGTGTCTGAGCTCTTCAGAAGCTCAGCTGGGTGGTAACTGTGGGCTTAACTCCGAACGGATTGACAACGGTGAGCGTCTGCTGCAACTGTGTGCGGAGCACTAGTTGTTTCTTAGTAGCACTGCCTTTAGACACAGTGGGCACCGAAGTGCCACTTGGCGTCCACCTGTAGCTGGTCAGCGATGGACCCAAATTGACCACATAGCCATAAGTTACAGGTGGCGCGGTTCCATTCTGGATTGCCGCTGGTACTGGAGTACCTGTGTCGACTCTGATCATGCCTTGGTGCGCTGTCGTTTCTCCATGAACTTTACCGGAAGGCGCACAAAGCGTCTCCCCCGATTGGCAACGGAGAAATTGTCTCAGTCTTCGGTTAGACAAGCCTATCAAGAAGCACTGCATACCGAACTTCCGCTGTCTTGTCCTAATGACACAGCTTCAGTGGAATAGGATCTCGGCCGCCATGCACGACGGAGGAGCATCTGGTTGTGGCACTATCAGTCGTCACCGCACCAGTCACTGGATATCCGAGAGGTCGGTGAACCTTTTGGAATCTAGAAGACACCTCCCGGCTGGCTCTGAACACAATGTGACTAGACGGGCTATTAGGCACGAACTAAAGCGAAGCCTGCGCGCTGACAGGGAAGCCTGGTGGACTACTCGGGCTTAAGCGTGCTAACCGCTTCACAAATAGCAGGTGGGTCGGTAAGGTGGCGACTCTCCTCATCAATAAGTTCTGTAATCAAAGATTCGATTGTTAGTCCTGCGACGGAGTAATTTGGCCAGTTCCTTTCCTTTGCGTGTCATCTTCAAGGCGTTCTCCTCTTCCTTTTCAATCCGTTTCATTTGTGAGCGCTTGATGCAGGTGGTGGATTCGTGCAGCCGTAATACTATTGAGAAGTCTCTAGTTTTCTGATTTTCCAGAGTAGTTTTCTCATTTTTAAGTCACTCAGAGTGTCGCTTACATTTTTAAGACAAGGAATGGCTCGTTTATAATGTGGGACATTACAGTTATGATGCGACTGATCTGGTAGTAGAAATGTTCCACTGCAATGTGGACACTAGTGGGGAGGTCGGAGCAATGAGGCCGCGGCCACGAGTACTGGCGTGTGTTAAGTTCGCTTGTCGTACAGTAGGCGTTGAGATAGAAGGTGGGGCAGAGTTATTTGATATTATTGCCCTTAGATACGAGTTGTCGAGATCCACGTTGGTAACTGCGGTTGACACTCTTGGTGTGCCATTTTCATGTGGATTTGTGTGCGGTTTCTCAGTGTAGCTGTTACGGTTTTCCGGCGGTTTCGATGTAATTCTGAAGAGGGATCGTTGCAGAGGTGTACGATCCGGCTTAATCAAAATATCTTTGTACTGGTTACATGCAATAATGATATGTTGGTTGTGCAACAAACAATCTGCCGATTCTTCGCTTGAAAATTTAAAAATGACTGAACACCGATGTCTCGGTGTTTTCTTTTTGTCGCAGATATTTACAGACGACATCGGACATGTTGCAAACGCTAAGTACATTCGTCTTTACTTTGTTCAAACTGAATCTGTCTAGTATGTTAAAAGCTATCACCTGTTTTACTCTACGGTTTCTTTCATGTACCTCTGAAGCGATGGAGTTGATTAGTTGACCTGCCTTTTTGAGATGATCATGATCAAACTTATCAGATGGGTTGCTAATGTATTATAGTGAAATTAAGTGATGTTTGAGGGGTTAATAAAAGGCCAAAAATTTCCTCATTTCCTCGAGCCTCGATTGCAATGAGCAGACTTTAGCTCTAAGTTCAGATGTGAGCTGAGAGGCCGGAGAAGAACAGTCTAGTGGTAGTTTTACGGCATCACATTTTAATCGTTTGGGCCGTGGCACAGAGGGTACATTGTCCTTAGCTGGGCGTGTGCATTTGAACTTCGGTGGGGCCATAGCAAACCAGGTGTCAGCAGTCAGATTAATGGGGTAGAGGGAACGTGACAAAACCAACCTGTTTGATTTGCTTCAATGCACTTTGGTTTCAGAGGCGGGAGCAGTAGGTAATTACTGCAAGCTCTTCCAGCTGATCCGCACCACTGGTCCCAGGAAGCCAGGCGTCAGTGAGACAATCCGAGACAGCGCAGGTACACTGATATCCAGTAAGGAGCGCCATATGGCTCATTGGGTGGAACACTTTCAAGATCAGTTCAGCTGGCCTCCTGCCCCCGTACCTCCTCCTACTAAGGTGATGCAGGATGAGCCATGGACGGTTAGTTTAGAGCCTCCGTCGGAGGCCGAGGTCCAAAACGCGATCACAGCCCTCAATCCTTTTCCTGCTTCTGGGCCGGATTCCCTCCCACATGCACTATTTAAGGATGGATGTGAGGTCCTCTGTGAAGTACTGACCTCCCTATTCGAACATATCTGCAAGGAAGAGAATGTCCCAGCTAATTGGAGCGAATCGCTTATAGTGGCAATATACAAGAAGCGCAGTCGCACAGATTGTGTTAACCACAGGGGTATTAGTATAACGCCAGTTGTGACAAAATTACTAGGCTCAATTCTCGTTCGTCGCCTCACTATGGAACGGGAATCTCGGATTAGGGAAGAGCAGACAGGTTTCCGCCCACGAGTGGCTGTGTAGACCATATATTCACCCTGCGGCAGGTGCTAGCGCAGCTCCACGCATACCACAGACCGACAATAACTGTGTCCCACGATTTGAAGAGTGCGTTCGATTCAGTCGATCGATCGATTCTTTTCGAAATACTTGCATGGAATGGTGTTCCCTCGAAATTTGTGAACATCCTTCGTGCTCTATACTCGAACACTGCAAGCC